AAAAGAATTTTTACAGAGAGTTTTTCTAAGTGGAAATGTTAATATTAATACGGGTTTGTAGGGCAATTGGATGGATATCCGATAGCATCTCAGGTTCCAATAACACACGAGAGCAAGCAATTTTCTCTTATTCGAGCACAGTCTACAGTAAGTGTGTTTATCCAAAGCTTCCTTTCCTTGAAGGGGTTACGGGTTGGGAGGGGGGGGGGTATATAGTGATATCGATTCAAGCGTTAGGTGTGTGTGCTTCTTCCTTGAAAAGAATCGACCTGCACTTTTAAAAAAAAGGGGTGAATGAAAAAAGAAAAAAAAATTTTTTTCTTCCCCAGAAGCTTACGATCACCTTTATATATTCACGATGCCATCGTTTACAATTCGGAATACAGAATGCCTTAAGACTTGAGAAGAAAAGTACCAACCAAAATATATTGACACTTATTTTAACGTTTGCAAAAGATCTCGCTTTCCAGCTGTGCATCGAATAAAAGAAGGAAAGAAAAAACAGGTTGCAGGGAGGGGGGGGGGGGTGGAGAAACAAAGTGAGCACAGGATTGTTTAGCGTGTATTCCAAGTTTTTATTGTTGCTCGTAATGTTTTCACTCGAGATTTAAGATTCGCGTTAACACGAAAATCAATGAAGTAGTTCAAGTGCAAATTCTGTTCAGGTTTAAGAGTATACCTTTAAAGACTCTCGAACGATTTTCTTAGTATCGCTTAGTTCAAAAGAATTTACATTTTATGGATAGAGAATTTTTTCTATTGTTAAAAATATATATATATATATTTTATTCCGATAAATTTCTTTAAATAGAATCATTTTATCGGTGTTTTCTTTTTATCAAATAATATTATTTTCAGAACATTTTAGTTCCTATTTAATCAGGTATAATTGTGATTTATGTCAGAATACTTTATTAAATGAGAATAGCTTTTAAATTAGTGTACATCTATCTCTTAATCTAATTTTGTAAGATCGTCTTCTGGGATAAATATATATATATATATAAAGAGGTAGAAATATTTTTAGATTATATGTTTCATAATTAAGTTATTTATCATGGATATGAACTTTCTGCTTTTTGAAATACAACACGGAATTCGTTGCTGTATTTATAATTAAATAGGTAGCTTAAAATGTAGTTTTACGATGTATGTAGTTATTATTTGATGATAAAAACGAAAATTTGCAAACATTATTATATATATTTGATCAAACCCTACCCAGACAGCACATAACATTGCGGCAATATTGCTGGGCAAGTTTCGCAATATTGCCGTGTAACATTACAGCAATGTTGCCACAACATTAAAATGTCACACCTTGCTCAATATTGCACAGTAAGCTTGCCACAAGCTTATGTCAAGGTTGCACCACAAGCTTGCAGCAATGTTGCACGGTAACATTGCCGCAAGATTGCTCGGCAAGTTTGCATCGTAAGCTTGCTGTAAGATTCATGTAAGGTCGAATAGTAAGCTAGCTGCAAACTTAATGCTACAGAAAATTCTCGCCGTAGGCACTTTTCTTAAATTTATTGTCAGTTTTTTGGCTATATAATATTTGAACGTCACTTCAAAAAAGAAAATATCCATAATTTAAATTTTATTTTACTTAATTGTTCAATTAAAAAAAAATTAAAGATAGGATAAAAAATGGAATTAAAACATTTAAATCTGGCTAATTTTTAATGGAAGAAAAAATTATTTTTATGGCCTACGGCGAGAATTTTCTGTAGCATCAAGTTTTCAGCTAGCTTACTATTCGACCTTACATGAATCTTACAGCAAGCTTACGATGCAAACTTGCCGAGCAATGCAACATTGCTGCAAGCTTGTGGTGCAACCTTGCCATAACCTTGTGGCAAGCTTACTGTGAAATATTGAGCAAGGTGGGACATTTTAATGTTGTGGCAACATTGCTGTAATGTTACAAGGCAATATTGCGAAACTTGCCCAGCAATATTGCCGCAATGTTATGTGCTGTCTGGGTAATTTTTAGACTCTTGTCCGTTATATACTGATTTTTTTTTTTTCATTATAATTTTAGAAAGAATGTCTCTATACAAGTTGTGACGTGTTTCTTGAAACTCTTTTTGTCATAAAGCACACTTCGTTGATGACCATTGCAGAATGAATTAATAACTGGGGACCAAGTCTGGGATGTATGTATTTATATACATACATACATACAGACTTTGGTAGTTAAACGCCTGAGGAAAGAGGTCATAGTGGTAGTAGTGTATCGCGAGGTCAACGGGGGTTAAATCGTTCCAATAACGAGACAGCCGGCTTTCTGGCCCGGACCTACGCCCCATTACATGACATTTGCCCTGAGTCACAGTATTCCTTGTCACAAACTCTAACTCTCTAGACTATACAAGAATATCAACTTTCTTTTCTAAATTCCATCTTGTGAGAATCCGAAGCTTTTTTTTCATATAATATGTGATCCACGAAAATATAACTCGATTACTCTTTTCTTTCTTTTTTTTTTACCCCTCTATATATTCAAATAATAGCAGAATGTGAAGAATGAAATATTTTTCATTTCTTGAAGGAAAATTTCTAAGGTTTTTTTTTTTGCCTTCTTTTTTTAGGTTTACTCATCCAAAAAAAATTCTGTGAATATAATTTTTCTTCTCTCAGTAAAAGCTTTTGTTTGAAAGGCAACTTTTTTTTTTTTATTTTTTAGAACGCGAATTTTTGTTTCATTGTGTATTTACAGAACTTGAAATATCATACAATTGTAATTATTATTTTTTACTGTGCGAGTAAAAATTAAATTTAATTTTCAAAAATCACTCTGCCATTCGCAAATTTTTATTGTAGTCAGCGGAGTTGTGGAAATGGAAAAAAAAGTTGAAACTTTGAAATATAATTTCGATTTTTTTTTAGAAAAAATAAGAGTGTTTCAATTTTTCCATTCTTTGAACTATTTAACAGTATTATTTAAATCCAACTTTTTTTTCCTACAAATTTCCATTTAAAAAAAAATGCCAAAAAAATTTATTTTTGAGCTTTAATAATTTTTTTTTATTTTCACATGAAATTGAATAGAAATAGAGTTTGAAAATGTAGGACATGCGTCGATAAAGTGTATAAAGCTTGATGCGCTGCACTCTCTCTCTCTCTTGAGAATTGAAATTTATTGCTCTTTTTTTGTATTCTACATCAATCAAAGTTTACTCTCGTATACCTAAAATGCATATATATATATATATATGTACCTAAATATAAATAAAAAATAAATATATTTTTTAATTTATACACTTAAATATAAGTGATGTTTCATTATGATCAATTATAAAGTTCATTGAATCGAATTTTATATTTTTCATTAGGAAAAATGCTTTTTGAATTCATGAGGAAATAAGTTTGATTTAAATAATAAAATTATTATTTATTGAAAAAAAACATTAAGGTGTATAAATAATTATAGTTAATTAATAGTTAATTAATTTTGCTAATTAATGAAAATTCATTATTATTATTATTATTATTATTTGTGCTTGAATTGGGGATAAAAAAATGCGCATGGGAGAATATTAAATGAAATGCAGTTAACTCAAATAAATTGGAATTTGTAAAAAATAATGCAAAATGCCGTTCCAACCTCAAAAAAAGGCAGCAGCGATTGAAACCAGGTTTTAATGGAGAGAGAGAGAAAAATAGTGAGAGAGAAAGAAAGAGAGAGAGAGAGAGAGATGCACCGAAGAGTCTTTCAATTTGCACGTTAATGAATTTTTCAGTTAACAACCATCTAGATTCGACGAATAAACATGTATACACTTTGCTCTTGGTAATAAGTTATTGCAAGCAAATATATATACGACCCAACGTCGAGTAATATCGTGTATTTTACGTCAAACACAAATTACAGCCGCACCCGCGCTTCTTGTCGGAAGCCAAATATTCCCCTTCTCATTATCGACCCTTCTCTCTCTCTCTCTCTCTCTCTCTCTCTCTCTCTCTTTCCATCTCCCAGTTCACAAACTCCTTTTAGCCTCTCTTTTGCCCACTTGTAAAATGTATAGGAGCATCTCTTCTCTCTGTGTGTCGTTTATTCCTGTTTCTGTGTGAATATAGACATCTCTCACTAGCTGTTATTAAAACAACGTTATTACTGTTCATGGTAATAAGATCATTCTCGTTCATCGGACACTATATATATATTGGGTGAGAGTGAGAGGGAGAGATTTATCCATATCCCACGTCTAATCGACATACTATTGTCCATTAGTTCTCATTGTCGATGTCATAGACGGATTTTAAACGAGGCATGTGTGGCGCACGCGGGCGAAAATGGATTTACTTGCTCATTCGTCCAAAATCGGAAATTGATTTAAAGATAAACTAAGCATTGTTACCAAATTCATTGATGATTACTTCCATCCATTTGAAGGATCATTGATTTGAACATTGGTTTTTGGCACCTATCATTTGTCATATACTCTAGATTATTTATCATTTGTTTTATTTTTTCTGATTACGAATTTAAAGTCCGATTTTCAAAATTCAAAATAGCGGAACCAATATTTTTTTAAGTATATGAAATATTTTACTAAACTTGTTACTGGAATCGCAGATTACGAATTTGATCCGAGTAACTGTTTAGGGAAATATTTTATGTAATCAAAAAAATAGTACGCTGGTTCCTCTATTTTGAATTTTAAAAATCGGACTTCAAATTCGTAATCAGCGATCCCAAAAACCCCCGAGTAAGAAGTTTTACGCCAATCCGAACGATTTTTTAATTTACGTCCGCCATATTGGATCCGACATTTTGAATTTGAAAATTCGACTTTAAATTCGTAATCAACGACCCCAAAAACTCCCGAGTTGTTTATAATAATTTATATTTTATTTAAAAAAATGTTTTGAGCAAAATTATTCAGTAAAATCAATAAGAATATTAAAATTGTTTTTTTTTTTTTTAAAGATTCGTCAAACAACATTTGGTATTTGAAAATATCAGTTGATTTTTTTTTTTTGTTTGTTTGCAGATTTCGAGTGAGCGCACTATTCCTATTTTTCTTCGACGACAACTATCTTGAAGCATCAAAAGCGTGAGTATATATTCTCTTTGAAGATTCGAAGTTGGTGCAAGCGGTTTCTCAAAATAAAACTCTTTCACATCCTCGGTTTACAAGTAGCTTGAATCCCGTGAAAAAGGAGATTTTTCCCTCCTTGGATTGGAGGAGAAGAAATTGTGAGTTTGTGTTTGTATGCGTGATATATATAAAGTGAAAGAATATGTAGGCGCGAAACTTTAGCAACTCGTAGTAGAAGTGACGCCAATAAAGTGAGTGTCGATATATACCATATATATGTATATATGGGTCGCAAAAATCTAGAGGCATAACACGCTCTCGTATAAACGAAAAAGAGAGATGAACGAGAAGATCTTCTCTTTTTCGATGCTAGAGAGGACTCTCTCTCTCTCTTTCTCCTAAAAGGAGAGTGAGGATATCCCTTGGAGAGAGGAAGAGGATGGGACATAAAAATAAATATCTCTGAGAATGGACTAAGCCTACTAACATATCAATATACTTTTTCCCCTTCTACATCGTTGTCTTATTTATAGAGTCTGGCAAAAAACGAAAGAATTATCAATAAAATTATTTTATTTCTCGATTTTTATTACATACAACAGTCGTTTATTTATCAGCAAGTCTGTTTTATTGGATCTTTTTTTAAATTTAACGAGTGACCATCCTAATAAAAGTAAAGAATTGATATATGTTCGATCGTACTTTATTTTAGAATATAATGGACGCATAATTGATTTTAAACATGTCACTCGGCATATTACACCTAAATTGATGTTTGAAAATCACATTATTCTACATAATCGTAGATAATTTTAGACGCATAGTGGACGCATAATTTATTTTGTTTTAATCAAATTTAGCATAATCGTGTATAATTTCAGAGCATAACAGACGCATAATTGTAGTCAAATGGCATAATTCGGCTTCATTTTAGAAAATAATGGACGCATAGTTTATTTATTTTCATCATATAACTCGGTATAATTGTCCATAAGTTTAGCGCATAATGAACCGAGTTATGCGATGGAAATAAATGAACTATGCGTCCATTATTGTCTAAAATTATGTCATTTGAATACAATTATGCGTCTGTTATGCTTTACAATTATACACGATTATACCGAATTATATGATTAAAATAAATTATGCGTCCACTATGCGCTAGAATTATGCCCAATTATAATTTATTATAAATTTAGCGCATATTGGACGCATAATTGATTTTCTTTGTTTTAATCGAATAATATTAAATGTTCCTATAAATATTGCGATTCGCCTTCGTCTTCAATACTCTTTTGGCTCCATCTTTCTTCTGTCGGGGTCGATTCACCCCTCATCGTGTTAAAGTCCTCGATCGTAGACGATTTATAAATGTCGCTTCAAACGCCGGCAGTCCCCCCGATGACAAACTCGGTGGATAATTGAAGACCATGAAAGTCAAAAGGTTACTCGTGCCGGAAAATATTGAAAAATGAGACTGTGAACTGTGTTGTGACCCTTGACTCGATCTTAACTCTATGATGGTGCGACGCGTCGAGAAAATATAAAGTAACCCGGAACTTGTTACATTTCTTCTTTTTTTTCTCTCTCCTTTATACATATGTAACGTTCAAAAACGTATTTCCTATACGATTAATCCTTTTTGAAAGGGGTACTTGAGAGGGGTCAGAAGTCAATAATACGTTAAATTGACGCTTTAATTCTTTTTTAAAATTCATTTCTCCTTATTTTCTTAATTTATAATTTTGTAAAGGATAGAAATATTTTTAATTTTCAATAATGAAAATTAATGTCAATTTAATTTTTAAGGGGGAATTGTTTAAACTTAAAATTTTCTTAAATAAATTTTTTCTTCTTTAAGATTAAATTCAATGTAAATTGTTGTTCAATTTTTTTTTTCCATTTTGTTTAAATATATTGTCACATTTAGCTTGGAGCAAATAATTATTCTAAAGTATAGACTAAAAGCTTTTACAATTTGTTAGGTTTTCATTTTGAAAGCTTTCGAATTGAATTTTGACATATATAAAGCCATTCAATAACTCTTCAACATAAATTTAAATGATTTTACATTCACGCACTCAGAGGTTTATTTATATGCAAACCGTAATCAGTTAAATTCGAAATTATACTCATTTTCCTGACCCCGGATTAATTCCACTTTTAAATATAATTTCAACTAATTATTTCGAAATTAGTTTCCATATTTTCATGATACTTATTTCAATTTGTTTCTTTTTTCACAATAATAATCATAATAATAATAATGAAAATAATAACAAGAATGATTATTATTATTATTAATTAATTTCATTACACTTCTATCCTTTACAGAAAATATAAAATTTTTCTTTGACTTAAAAAAGATTTTTCTTACTATAAAAATATAAAATAAATTTTTATTTTATCTGAAGTAGTTTGATAAATGTAAAGAAGATATTTGGTCGCTATTAGGTTTTTCTCATATTGTGTGACGTCATATGAAATGTACATAAAAGTTCATTTATCGAAATGGGGAGTGTATATATATATATAAATATAGAAAGAATGTGCGTACGTGTTGTGGAGAGAAAATGCGACCAATTCTCTAGGGATAATCGTGGGTGTGATGACGAACGATGCACTACTTTCTTTTTTTCTTTTTATTTTTTCTTTTGGCATGGGACCAAGAGGGAGTAGTATATAGTGATGTGCGCGTCCCTATCTTATATAGGGTGAGAGAGAGGGGGGGAGTATACCTTTCGTTATTTCACTCTCGTGTGCGCTTTAAAAAGTTTTTCAGTGCGTAATATAAGTAAGGAGAGAAAAAAGAGAGAAAGAAACCGCAATGCGGACGATGCCCTGAGCAACGAGTTTCAACCCGCTATCGCAACATAAAGTTGCCATTACCGCGCTCGTACAAGTTACAAGTTACGGCAACGGTAACATCTTCTCTCCCTGACCTATACAACAGTCTCCTTCCACTTTCGTTTGCTAAATAAATATACCCCATTCCATCTTTCAGTGCCTCCGGGTCCGTTGGCAAAGTGCCTCGGAAAATCTACTGGATACTGCATGACAGTTGAATTCCCTGTGTCAATAATGCGACACAACTTATATATATATACGCGGGAGGTGTAAATAAACAATTGTTTATTATCAATGTTTCCAGAAACAAAAATCACGATTTTTTTTTTACGAATTTGATGAATTTAGATATCAAATTTCTCAAAATTGGAGCCACCCTTTTGAATTTTGAAAATTTGAGAGCAAATTCGTAATCAGCGACCTTGAAAACCACCCGAGTAACGAGTTTCAAGTGAATCCAATGAATTTAGAAAAAAGCATCCGCCATATTGGAACCGCCATTTTGAATTTTAGAAATCCGACTTCAAATTCGTAATCAGCGACCTTGAAAACCCCCGAGTAACGAGTTTCAAGTGAATCCAATGAATTTAGAAAAAAGCATCCTCCATATTGGAACCGCCATTTTGAATTTTAGAAATCCGACTTCAAATTCGTAATCAGCGACCTTTGAAACCCCCCGATTAACAAGAATCATGGCAATCCGAACGATTTTTGAATTTATGTCCGCCATATTGGATCCGACATTTTGAATTTGAAAATTCGACTTTAAATTCGTAATCAGTGAAATAAGAATTCGGTTAAATGAAATTTCAATAAAATAGGCTGAAGAAAACTAATGTAAAATATGAATTTGATTAAATAATAATTCGGCTAAATAAAAATTCAGTGAAATATTAATTTTATTATAAATTTTTTATATATTTTTTGTATGTTGTGAATATATTTTTTTCACTAATCAATTTAATGGAGTTTAAATTTGGAAATGTCGTAAATAATTGATAATAAGGAAACGTAAATGGAATTTGACCTAATAAAATATTCTCATTCTTAATTCAGAATGTTTTGAATTAAATATAGTTTTAATTGAAGTATTAAGTATGCTTTTATAAAGCATTGAATTATTAAATGTCATAGTAAATTTATTGTTATTTACAAGATAAATAAGACAAAAATTAAAAATATACTCATTCATGTATTATAATATAATGAAAGAATATTTCAGTGTAACGTCAATATGTATTTTATTGAAGTATTTCAAGATATTTTGAATAATAAATATGATAATAAATATTCCAGGGGAATGTCGATTGATAATTAAATTTAAATATTTCAAAAGAAGAAAAAACAATACGTTTGTTTGAAATTAATTTTTTTTCTAAGAAAAAAATAGTTAAAAAAAATTTAAATAATTGGAAGAAAAAAAATTAGACTGTTTTTTTGTATTGAATATATACGTATATAGAAGAAATAGCAGGGGGAGAAGCGAATAAAGCACAAAATGAGAATGACGGAAAAGTTTACGAAATGATGAGAAAAGAAAACGCAGTCTATCTTTCGATTACTTGAATAGTGAAAGAAGAGGAAGAAGAAGGAAAAAAAAGATGGTGGGAAAAGCGAAAGAGATGTATATAAAAGAACTAATTTGTACTCAGCCCAGCAACCTACTTGAAATTACTCCGAGAGTCTAAGAGGTTAGCGACTGTGCAAAATAGAGCGGTCGAGATAGCAAAGAATAGAGTTACCTGTTCTTCTTTCTCCCTCCTTTTTTCTCTTTTGCCTTTAGAAGAGTTACTTTACGCGAGGGAGCTTAGGAATTTATTGCTCGCGGCTGAAATACGCAAAAGGGGGTAGCTGCTACACCAAAACATATATGTATATGTTTATATGTATATATATATATATATTTCTCGCGGATACCTCGTTTCTTTCGAGCGAAAGATGAAGACAGATGGACATAAGTGGTTACCGAAGGTTAACAAAAAAGAAATATTAACCCCGACTAACTTAATGGGATAGGATTGAACATGGCGCGATAAAATAATGCATATAAGCCGACTACTTTTTACCATAGGTCTTTGTTAAAAATATATAATAAAATATTCTGGCGAAGGTTTTGTCTGAATTTGCATTCTTTTCTTTGAAGATATATATAGTGTTCTTGTTCGGTTGATCATTATGAATTTACTATGTTGAAAGAAAGTGTTTTTTTTTTCAAAGAAAAAGTTCTCTTGGCTTTTAAATTTTAATGGCTTTACTATAGTAATTATCATAAATAGCAGCGCATGATTATTCCATAAAAATAATTAATTAGAATTTTTATTTTAAAGAATTTTATTAGAAATAATTAGTTTTTAGACGAATTGTCATTTTTCGAATTAGCATTTGGAATATAGAAATAGGAGGTGGAATTGGGTTAGAAATAGGAATTAGAAATTGAGTTATAGATTCTGAAATGCTAAAATTAAAATTTACGAAAAATTCCCTAATCTTCTTGTAAAATTTATAACCATACTTCATATTGAAATCATAATTACGTTCCATGAAATTTATAATAATTTCCAATTATTTTTTTTTAATCTTATTTTATTACATCTTTTCGTTGATCCGACATTGGATTTAGAGTTCGATATTTCTCATGTCAGTGAGGAGGCAAAAAAAAAAAAAAAAAAAAAAAATTGAACGTGAGGTATGCCAGTGCCTTAAAGTATATGATGCATTAATCCGGATAATATTTAATGAATTTATAAGCTCGTGATAAAGTTGACGGTTTTGAGAAATGGGGAAAAAGAGCTTGCCAAGGGAGAGAACGATTCACATTAACTCTGAACACGTAGGAATTAAGTTCTCGTCGTATAACTGCGCGGCAGGCGTGTATATGCGTCCGTGTTTCTTCTTATATAGGAAAGAAGGAAAAAAAAAGAAATGGTGGATAAAAAACAAAAGAAGTTGAGAAACGCGACGTTACAGTCGTTTAGTTGAGTCGTAAAAAAAACTCCCACTCCCTTGAGTCTTCTATCCACCTTTTCTATACTTCTTCTTTCCTTTGCCCTTATGACCGCTACACGTTTTTCTATCTTCGACTTGCCTTGCCCAGAATGCAGGCCTGTCCAGCGAAAGATACGATATTTTTATTAGTCATCTCGATAAATTGGTTTCGAACAGTGTAAGAGGATCTCTTTCTGAGGCACTCGCGCTAGTTCTTCTTGAAAAAGAATTCTTACAAGGGAAGATATCTTGTCGTCTCTTCCATACCCATCTACTCGCCCCACTTTGTCGAGCTATAGGATTTTCTCTACGCTTTCATTGCACTTTTTATTGATACATGAAAATTTTTACTGTTCCCAGAGAAAATCGAAGTAAAAATATTTATATTGGTCACACTTTTTTTTCAAATTTATTATTATTAAAACTATTTACAAAAATTTGTGATTTATTTCATTTAGTTTGATAGTTTTATATAGGTTTCGTTGCTTTCTTTAATTTTGGCAAAAATAAGTATGTGAATGGTTAAAAAATTAACAAGATGGTAAAAAAAATTTAAAAATATAAAAAATTACCGACATAGAAATCTACCTTACCGACTAATGGTAAGGTAAATTTCTACGTCGGTAATTTTTAATATTTTTATTTTTCAAAAAATTCCTTTACCATCAGTCGGTAAGGTAGATTTCTATGTCGATAATTTTTACTATTTTCATTTTTCAAAATTTTCTTTACCATTAGTCGGTAAAGTAGATTTCATTTGTGACTTTATTTTGTAAATACTTTCCCTTATCTCCCCAACATAAAAAAATCCACATTAAATAAAAAAGAGGATTATTTCCTAATCATAAATAATTCGTGATAATAATTAAAATTAAAATGATTGACAGTAACATTTACAGTGGCAATTACAAGTTGAATATCTCGAGAAGGGTTAATGTGGTTTATCGAAGCTCATAGAGGCACTTCACTTCCAGGTTGTCCCGGTTAGAATTTCCGGTCTGTTACCTGTCATTTCAACCCGAATATCATAAATTCATCATGTCAGCCCTCTAAGCTCTATTCTCTATAATCTTACTGTTTAATCGATTGATTATATCTACTACTATACAGGAAAGTTGAAAAAAAATAGAATTGTTTTTTTTGGCGAGTCAGAAGTAACCATTCAATGTGTGACGCATCGTTTATACTTTCCTTTGACAAATTTAATGAGCAGAGTAGTCATCAAAGTTGTCTGTGTATGTGTGCGCAAGAACTCTAGGGTGGTGACTGGTTGTGGGCACATGGCGGTGAATTCATATTATGACTCAATGGGAAAGCTCGAACACGTAAATTTAATGAGAAACTCGATAACGCGAGAACACACCAAAGAGTGAGTGAGTGGTGGGTGAGATACACAAGCCAAAAAGGGTCGTCGAAAGAGAAGAAAGAGGGAGGAATAAAAAAAAAGAAGGAGAAAACGGAAGAAGGGAGACTGAATTATTGTCCCCATGACTGTCCTTCACATTACGTGCGTTTTATGCGACTGGTATGTCGCCATGCCGCATGCTACTCTTTACGATATGCCAACATGGGGTTGTTTTCTTAACATGAATATGCCATCGCGTGAAGACAGCCGTAAACTACCGATAATTTAATGGCTTCTGCATAATCAAGATGCATTTAATTAAAATAACGTTTTTTTTTTTAATTTAAAAATAGAGAATATTGAATTTACACTGATGGTTGATTACGTAATACGTTCTACTTTTTTATATTATTAGGATTTCTGAAATGCTGTGTTCATTGGTTTTGTATTTAATTGTTTGCAGAAATTAATATTTTTTGTTGGTAGATTTCTAGGTGGGTTATTACCATCAGTTGGAAAGGTAGATTTCCGCGTCGGTGATTTTTTATAGTATTTAAAAAAATTCTTTACTGTCAGTCGGTAAGGTAGATTTCTATGTCGATAATTTTTTATATTATCATTTTCCAAAAAAAATTTCTTTACCATTAGTCGGTAAGGTAGATTTCTAGGTCGGCAATTATATTTTTATTTTTCCAAATTGTTTAGTTCTAATTCGTCGTTTCGTATCACAATTCCAAGTATTTATCTTCCTAATTCAATAATTATTTACTACTAATTTGGTACGAATTAAAATATTTGAATAATTTTCATTTCTTCATTATAATTTATAAACAGAATGAAAATTTATTTTGTATAAATGATGTCAATCATTTAATTAAGCGGAATTAGAAAAGAGATGATATATAATCGATAAGGAATTAGTTGTGGCCTGGTACCTCTGATTAGTATCAGAAACACATAGATTTAGGGACATTTCGTATATATATATGTGTGTGTGTGTGCCATATGATACGGAATTCACGCGTCAAATTCACTATCCGGTGATTGGATCGACCCTACAGATCCAGAGGCTCACCGTAACGGAGAATTGTAACACGCGACTGTCGTAACCTGTCGGACGCATTAACGTCTCAACGGGGGGCTACTTTACGGTTTAGAGGCATAAGGTATACTACCTTTAATATATCTATATATATATACTATCAGTGACAGTCGTTGATACCGCTCTTACCTTCTCTCTCCAAATATATTTAGGTTACTTCTTATCTCCAATTACCCCCAATTTCCTTCCGTTAAAAGTCATATCAATTGGGCCATCTAATTTATTATTATCATTTATATCTTTGACGGGGGTGAAAAATTAAATACTTGTTGACAGGCTGGAAAATTTTTTTTAAGTATATTCGAAACTTAATTTTCATTTTCAACGATACATTTGCATTTCTACTCATTTTTATTCAAAAAAAAAAAAGATTTATGATTTCATTATATAAATTTAATTGAATTTTTAATTTATTAAATAAAAGCATTTTGATAATGGAAAATGTAATAATAATTTACATAAATATATACATATTTGGTGAGGAATGGAAAATGTTAAATAAACATTTTATTTCCTACTAGTTTTCACAAAAAGCAGTTTGTACGAAGCTGTGATAATGCCTCTTGTGTATACTTGAAAGTCTGGACAGTAGCAAAAGGAACGTTTGGTGAAGAGAGTGAGAGGGAGAGAGAGAGAGAGAGAGAGAAATTCTATGGAGAGTATTTGAAACACGCAGAAACCACTACAGCTTTGAGCTTTGCTATATGATATAAATGTGGTTAAGGGGCACGAACAACTTGAACTGACTGAATACAACTTGGTTTTTTGAGATTTCTGTCTTTGAAAATGAAGCTTATGTTAAAACATTCTATGGTCATTAAATTACTTCAAATACTGAACAAGAATATTACTCTCTTCAATTTAGGAAAAAAAGGAGAAACTGATTTAAAAATTTTACATGTCAAAATTTTTTTTACTTAGAAAATAATTTCACCTCTTTTTCAGAGAGTTTTTTTTTTTTGTTTTCTTCGGTTCAATGCAGATTGAGCCCAATCTTTAGCCCAATTCTAGTTTTAGTAACGCTCGGTTGCAAAATTTTAATTTAATTTTTAAAGCACCAGGAAATATATTTTTGTTATAATCTTTATGAACAATTTTTTTTATCGTATTTCTCGTTTTGATGTCAATTTTTTTTTCAGAATTCCTGTCTTTTCTCTCTCTCTCTCTCTCTCTCTCTCTCTCTCTTTTTTCGAGAGAGGAACACACGATTCCAGACAAGAGTAAACGAGTTGGTGGGAGAGAGGGATTGATGCTGTTCACTGTGAGGCTTATTGTGATCTACTATATGTGAGTAAGCTTCCAATTTTGACCATTGACAGTTATTGCCACATGCCTTCCATTTTATTACACTGTTTCAACCTCTCTATTCATTTGCATGTGTGAAATCGTAAGTTGTGTTGTCGACAACAACAATGGAGGTTGATGGTGGTAATCAAAGTCGTTAACGACGATGATATTCTGTTTATTTCCTCTTCTATAATGTATTTACTAGTCAATATTATCCATTTGGTGAATATGCTTCCTTAGTATAGTTGTTTTATATTCAATCTCCAGTGATAACAAATATGTTTTAATTTTGTTGCTTAAAAAACAAAATTCAATGCTTAAAAATCCCCTGACTTTAAATTCGCGATCAGTGATCAATTTTACATTACTGCAGGAATTTATATAATTATTAACCTTGCGAATTGGTATTTATAAAGAAAAGAGAAAAATGATATGGTATTTTCATATGCATCTTTGCTTTGCCTTTTTTTTTAGTATAATCAAATCGACAAATAAGTGTAAAAAAGATAATTAGGGTTTCTCATGCGATGCAAAGAATGAAGAAGAAGAAGAAGAAATGATTAAAGGGGGGGATGGATCTTTCGGTCGATTTTTATCTCAAAAGCATCCTCCTCCAGAGGTACAGAAAACGTTCGATTAAACTATCCTACTACCTCGATTCGCTTGAGTGCACGAATGTAGTTAACGAATTTCGTTAACGACTCGTGAGATTCCTTCGTCGTTCGATCCGCGCGCACCCTGAAATTGCTTGGAATTACATTTGCAGGGAAGCTTATCCCTTATATATAATAAATTAATCGATTTGCTCGACGTTTTTTTCATTTGCAATCCAACTAATGATGAGGGAGAGAGAGAGAAAGAATGGAAGAAAAAGAATATACACAATTTTCCATCTCTGTAAAAATTTTTGCATATTGGATAGTCTCGCAGAAAAATTATTTTTTTTAACTAGATTAAGAAAAGTTGTAATCTCATATGAAGAGGAAAATTTCTTTTATGCTTTCGCATATTCATTTATTTTTTCAAAATAAGAATTATATTTTTTTTCAAAACGGTAACTTCACTTTCACTTTACTTTCAGTACACTTTCACTTCACTTTTACTTTACTATTTCACTTCATTTTCACTACAGTTTCACTTCAGATTCATTAAACTTTCACTACACTTTCATTACACTTTCACTACAATTTCATTACACTTTCACTACACTTTCATTACACTTTCACTACACTTTCACTACACTTTCATTACACTTTCATTACACTTTCACTACACTTTCATTACACTTTCATTACACTTTTACTACATTTTCACTACACTTTCATTACACTTTCACTACACTTTCACTACACTTTCATTACACTTTCATTACACTTTTACTACATTTTCATTACACTTTCACTACACTTTTACTACACTTTCACTACACTTTCACTACACTTTCACTACACTTTCACTACATTTTCATTACTTTCACTACACTTTCACTACATTTTCACAACACTTTCACTACACTTTCACTACACTTTCATTACACTTTCATTACACTTTTACTACATTTTCACTACACTTTCATTACACTTTCACTACACTTTCACTACACTTTCACTACACTTTCATTACACTTTCATTACACTTTTAGTACATTTTCATTACACTTTCACTACACTTTCATTACACTTTCATTACACTTTTAGTACATTTTCATTACACTTTCACTACACTTTTACTACACTTTCACTACACTTTCACTACATTTTCATTACTTTCACTACACTTTCACTACATTTTCATTACTCTTTCATTACACTTTCATTACACTTTCACTACACTTTCACTACACTTTCACTACACTTTCACTACACTTTCACTACACTTTCACTACACTTTCACTACACTTTCACTACACTTTCACTACACTTTCACTACACTTTCACTACACTTTCACTACACTTTCATTACACTTTCACTATACTTTAAGTTAATTTACACAACACTTTCACCTCTTTTTCACTTTCATAACACTTGACATATTCATTACATTTTGTTCCGTTTCACTTTCACTATAAGCAAAATGAAATTTATATATTTCTAGAATAATGTAAAGTACAAGTAAATTTAAAGTGTAATGATATGAGAATAAGGTGAATTGAAGTTACAAAATAGCAAACCAATTTGACTGAAAAATTTATTAAAAAAAAAAAAAAAGTTGGAAATTATAAAACTTTAATCTGATTTTCTTTTTCTCGTGAATTTTTTACAATTGAGCTTTTTAATAAACTTTGTGAGATGAAATTATGTTTGCGAAATTCTCTCAATAATTCCTTTCAGTGAAGTTTTAAGGCAGTAGTCGACATTTGATAGCCCCCATTCGACGCGGTAATGTAGACATTGAATTATTTCCCCACGTTTGCCTTTAGGTATTCGTGTATAAAATATGAAGTTTACGTTGATCCCCTCAGTTAATCGGTTTCTTTTTTCTTATTACTTTTTTCATTTTTTTTTCTTAATTGCCAATTGTTTGCGTCGCTTTGACATAATATAGAAAAACTTGTTCTCTTTATTCTCAAAATTTTTTTAGGATATAGACCTCTTTATTTTCATTTTTGGATTATTTTTTTATTACAAATTTTACCTTTTGACATGATTTGAAAAAAAATTAATAAATAATTTATTATTGAATGAACGACTTTGATATCCTCGGAGAAATTGTGAACCCTAAATACAATTGGCAGTGTGTCTGTCTTGTAAGGTGAAGGTTAAAGTGGCTTGAAATTGGAAACTGTAGGGTCTTTTTGGGGCAGGAAAGTTTTAAGGGTGCCGAATTAATAAAGACGTCCTTGGTTATTTTAGGTATTTAATAATGTATTATTAAAGGTTACATGTTATTTGATTTTAATGACGTGGAAAATTTCAACTCTTAACTAAATTTTCATTTTTCATTTTGTTTCAATTTTAATTACTTATTTTATATAAATTTCTAAACTTTGAAATATCTAAAAATTTGTATTTAAAAAAATTTTTTTTTTCATTTGTAAAATACAAATAGACATTAATTTCTTATGAAAAATAAATATAACGACAGCATTATAATGCCAAATGAAATATTGTCATTATTGACAAAAATGATATTCTATCGCTTGTCCATTATGTTGTCTCGAGTGTTTATTGAGTAAAAGTTTTCACATGAACGAATATGACTCGCCAAAATCAACAAAAGTTTAATATCAATTAAGAAACTATTATTTTAGTACTTCCGCTTTCATGATCCGATGGAAATTATAACAAATATGCAATCAATATAGTTCAAGTGGAACAAATATTTTAGTAACATGCAATATGTTATTATTACCAGCAAAACACATTCTTCAGATATATATTATATTCTAAATGAAACATAGATGTTTCAGGTACAATAACTAATTTTAACAAAAGAAAAATATTTCATTTTTTCTATTTAAAATATTATTTAAAGTAATGAGTAAAAAAAATACACTATAAATTCACATATTGAAATATTTTTCATAATCATTTGGTATGAATTCCTCACGTTTTATGTACGAATGAGGAAAATAAATTGAAAGTGGTTTTCATTAGTCATATTAATTTTTTTTGGTTTTGTTCTATGCTTTTGATGGTTTTAACAATTCTGACTTTAATTTTCAAAATTAAAAATGATCTGACAATTTTTAATTCTTAAATTTTTTCATAGTACGAGGAAAGATATGACATACGTTAATTTAACCATTCTCTGGCTTTTATGAAGGATCCCTTTTGTTCCAATTGCACTTAGCAAATCTATTTTTTTGCGTTGAAATGTTTATATTTTTGATAAAAAAAACTTTCACTTACACTAAATTTTAATTTTACTAAATTTTTATACTTTCACTATCACTTTCAGATTCCTTCCTAAAATTTCAGTGACCAGCCTGACTTTGAAAGTAAAATGTAAAAATATGAATTAAAAAATTGTAAAATAAAAATAGAGTGGCAAAAATATAAAAGTTGAAAAAATGTAGAAATAAAAACAAAAAATAGTGAAACTATATGAAATATGATGAGAAAAGTGAAAATTAAGAAATAGGGAAGGTGCAAGAAGTTGGATAGTGAAAAGTGGGAAAAGTTACATAATCGACCTCGCGTTGGCACTCTCGAGAACTCTTGAATTACATCCAAATTTGAAAACGTGTGTTTAATGTAAATTTAACACAACAATAACTCGCGCATGAAATATCACATTTCCAACAACGTATATGTATATATCTTGGTTTATTGTTCAACTTTGAAAATTATTAGGCTCATGGTATTTATGGCTCGTTTAAAGCTCTCTATTGCAAGGTCGTCAATATTTTCTTAAATATTATAAAAAGATTTCGCCTCTGTCTCCATATGGTTCAATCCACGTCAAGAGGTACCTAAGACATATGTTTTTGACGTAAAAATAGACAATCGGCTATAGGTACTTTTGCGAAACTTAAAACGCTGCGCAGTTTATTTCAATGGCACTTACGGCTGCGCAGTAAATTTTTTTAACTCCTATATATGATGCTCAGTTATATTACAGTTTAGTAGAATCTATAACAGTAGCGATAGCCGATGGGCTCTTGTTATCACGTTATCGATCAGTCGAGATGTCAGAGTCGAAACTTTCTCGTCTGCGCATCTAAGTATCTTCTCTCGCAATCAGCGTAAAACGATACAGAGCGCGAATTAACCGAGTTGGCGAAGGTGCCCGGAAAAAGTATTGACTGTATCACCATCCCTTTTATTCCCGACAGCAATGCACACCGCATACCTTCATATATATATATACACCCTTGTTACTATCGTGGTAATGTTCCAGAGTGCCACAGGAAATTGCATTCCTTGTCCAGAGTTTCTTTAATCCGTTGCTACCACCACAGAGCTTGGCAAAATTTGTAATCGTTGTCAGTGTATTGTTGTCTTTAGTGCTCAGGAACCCTTTCTACAACCTCAACCTTCTTAATTCTATTCTTTTT